ATTATGAATGAAAGGCCTAAACTATAATTGATATTATGAACTGGTGTTATATAAATTTTTGTGAATGTATAAAAATAGAAATTTACAGTTTGGTGATAGGTGCCTTTTTAAGCGAATGGTAACAATAAAAGAACATGGAATGAGTTTTGGGGAAAGTTGTAGAATTTTTTGAACAAGTGCAATTTGGGGAAATATTCTGTTATATGATATAAATGGGGAGAAATGAGATGAGAGAGTACAGAAAATGTTGGAGACCCAAGAATGAATAAAGAAGGCATCTGCTTAGAGAAAGATACTTGTTTCAGCTATGTAGTTTAAATAACAGTGTATTTGAATAGATACAGACATGGTAAACAATGAACATTCATTTAAAAGTATTATTGATTGATTTATGATGAAAGATTGACCAAACATTGAAGGATACATTACAAAGATGATGTGAGATTCATAATTTATTATTTATTTTTTATGGTATCAAGAATGGATCCTGGGGAAAAAATATGGAATAAAAATGAGAGAAAGAACGAAATAATTATTGACGGAAGATAAAATATAAGCCTAATAGAAAAAACGGTAGATGATAATCTCTCAACATGAAAAAAGGAAACTGGACATAAGGAAAGAAGATGTGGAAACAGCTTATTAGAATAATTTACTTTCCCACCTGCGTCCTCTTAGAGGTCAGGATGTTTTATATAAGTCATCATCGATGCTTGTTCACTTATATTTAATTTGACTTTGGAACTTTGCTTCTGTTTGATTTGAAATTTCACCTATATTTTTGTGCGAAAAGAGGCTGGTGTTGAATATTAATTATTGTAAAAAGCTAGTGATATTCTACTCTCTATTGGCAAATCTCTTCAGTTTTCTTCTCAAATTTAAGAATAAAGTGATAAACTTGATAAACTTGATAAACTATCAAAGTATTAAGTTAACTGATTCAGTCACCAAGAGTCTCCTTGTAGGGAAGATGGGTGGCATAAAAAATTAATAAATAAAATAAATTGGACTAGATGTTACATACTTTTCATAGAATATAAGGTATATATAGTAAAGTATAAAGTTTGGGATGTTAGGTATATTTGGATTCTATTTCATTTTAATTATTGTTATTGATAGTAATGGATGGTAAAATGATTCTGAGTTAATGATGGTCATGTGGTTAAAATGAGTTTTACTCTGACACTGAAATATGAAGAATATATTTCTCTCTATATACAGTGGAACCTCTGGTCACAAACACTTCTGACTGTGACCAAATTGGGTTCCGACCAAAAAAATCCACAACATTTTTGAATCAGGTCATGATTCAATCAGGTGGCGATCAAACACGGCCATGGCAGATTCCCTTTTTGTGCCAATTTCCCCTTCCATGCCATTTTTTTTTTTGTAGGCACATGCACAGACAGTCTTGCTTCTGGTCATGACCAAATCGGGTTGCGACCGAAGTTACGGAATGAAGTACGGTTGTGACCGGAGGTTCCACTGTAATTTTAAACATAACTTCTTTGTAAATAAATTCTTATTTTATTTAGATTTGTTTTATGGCAGGACTTATGTTTTGATATTTCTTTCTTTCATAATGTAACTGATTTTTTAAAAAAATATTTAGATGCATTGATTTACACTACAGTATCTAGTAAGAGACTGGCTTTGTTTTTATTAAAAAGCCCCACTTTATTTTCTCCAATAAAAGTTGCAAGCTATATTTAGAATATGTTGGGAAGAAAGTTCAAATTTGATCTTTATCCCCATGGCAGATTCAAATTTGGGGACAATCTGTGCTTCAGAATTGTGCAAAATTGTCCAAAAAAGAATAAATACCTTAGAATAACTTATTTTCGATCACTATTAGAAATCTTTGCAGAGGTGTGAGAATAATTTTCTAAAAATGCTGAATGGTCATTGTTTAATTAAATATATATTTGACTGTACTATTTGGACAGGAAACATTATCAGTGCCCTAAATTATTATGACTGGAAAGAGTTTTGGAAGATTCTAAAAAAAGGTTTATAAAATCTACAAGAATATTGATACTAGTTGCTCCAAGTAATTTGCAAGATAGTTGGAATGAGGAGTTGGAAAATTTTATTTTAGTAAGTTAGGGAACTATCCTTTAACAAATACTAAATATGTATCTTTCATCTACCCTATATTTACAATAATAAAAAAATCACTATAGGAATGCTGAAATACATAGGCAATGCAGAGTTCTCATCCAGGAGAATGAAGCACGCCAGAAACACAGTGCTTCCCATCTTTTGTTGTTGTTGTTGTTGAATCTTGTTTGGGTCTTTTTTTTGTAATAATTTTTTATTTTATTTTTCAACTACAAAAATTCTAATTTCAATTGAACAGTGTGTTGTCTGGGTATAAATCATTTTAGGAAATAATAATCATAGTATTTACAACAATATTGCATTAATATCAATTATATTAATGTTAATAACCATAATAATCAAACTATTTGTTTAACCAAGTTAATGTATCTTCCTAATATCACTAATCTTTTCATATTTCCCTGTTTCTAGCTCCTGTTTCTGTCAGCTAACCATTAATAAAGTAAGTCCCAAGTCAAAAAACATTCAGTTTCTTCCTTTTCCTTAATTGTAAGTGTTGGCTTATCCATTTCTGCACATTCTAATATTTTTCTAATCACATCTTCACCTGTTGGGATCTCTTCACTTTTCCATTGTTGTGCAAATGTTCTTGCTGCAGTCAATACATATAAAATCAGATACACATTCCCTTTGTTCTACCTGTCTGGTAGAATGCCCAGCAAAAAATGTCTCTGGTTTCAAATCTATATATTGTTTTATCATTTTTTCAAGCCACGTATGTATTTTTGTCTAATTTTTTTTGCTCTTTGACATGTTCACCACATATGATAGTATGAACCAGGTATCTGGTGGCATTTCCAACATTTTTCAGATTTACCCTTAAACATCTTTGCTAACCTTGAGGGTGGAAAATGCCATCTATAAAACATTTTATAAAGATTTTCTTTATATGCAGTAGTGGGGCTCTGAAAATTCTTAAATGCAAGTGTTAATGAACTAAATTGCAAAACTTCTGTTTTGTGATTCATGATGGTAAAGTGTAATAGAGCTTGGGTAGATAGACTGATTTCTCCTTTTGCATGGTTCCGACAGTCTTGAACTCTTGTGTGAACCCAAACTTCTTTCTTCTGGTCTAATTATTTTGTCTTCCCAGATATCTATCTGTTTATCCAGAAAAATAAAGGGATCGTTCCCCCCCACCCCCAAAGTGAATTAAAAGCAAAATGACAAAGTTGCCAAAGTCTTCAAAAACTATCCAATATTTAGCTGATAAAATTATAACCTGGTCTTTATGGCTTTCACTGGGGTTAGATGCCAGTGGAATAAAAAGTTAAGAAGTTCCTCTATGGATTTAACTAAAACAATTTTATAGATCTATAAATACATATAATTGCTATCATTTTTAAAATGTATGAATGGACAGCATATTTACAAATCAATTTATTTAATATAAATATTTAAGGTATTATCTACCAGGAACTGCAAGATGAAATAGTTTATGATTAATAGAATAATAATTTTCTGTTTTAGGAGGGCAGATGTGTTAGTATTTAAATGAGTTCAACAATACTACATTTCTTCTTTCTTAAGGACTTTATTTATGATTTTGTTGAACTTTGTTAGTCACCCACATTTGTTGAATCAAGTGGCATACAAATATAATGAAATATTATTACTTATTTGTAAATAGTTATTACTTTAAAAAAAGACGAATAGTTTGGAGAAAATATGTTTACAATCAGTGGTGTCCCTTACAAGCTGCAGTGATGTCAATATGTGATGACATATGCATCATGATGCCATTGTGCAAGGACCTTGGAAATAAATGCCAGTAAGTAAATTAAATAATTTTCATCATAAAATAATGCAGTTGTTCTGCTTTGCCCCCCCCCCCCCCCCCAAAAAAAAAAAAAAAAAATCTCTCTAGGCATTTGTGTGGTTAAAGTCCTGCTAATGTCATTCTGGTCCACTAAGTATTTGTAAACTGCCTAGTCACCTAGGTGAGATGAGTGGTGTAGAATTTTGATAAATAGTACATGTAACCAATAATACTATATTGTGTTTTTGAAAACAATAATCCTATCTACTTGTAATTAAAATTTATCACATTTTATTAATTATATCAAAAAATATTTTATCAAGACAAATTAATTCTAGGCTATTTTGTTTAGTAACAAAACATTTTATTAATCATTAAACTTA